TCCTTCCTTCTGGAAAATATGTGGGCAGGGATCTCTGCTGGGTGGATGCACCCTGTTTGCATGGCTCCCGACTGGTCTCCATGGAGTCCCCAGGGTTTTTGGCTGGTGACAGTAAGAGGCTACGATTGGTGCTGAGGCAGAGTCCTGGTTCTGTGGGCAGGGACAGGCGCTGAGCACATTGCGGATCTGCCCCAGCTTTGATCCCATACTGTCACCACCCCAGGATCCCAGAGTCTCCATAGAAACTGTTTGGGAGCTGTGCAGGCAGAGTGTGCAGCCGCACAGGTGAGGAGTTATGTCCAGGGCTAGGGCAGGGATCTTGGAGCAGTGACAGGGCAGGGCCCTGTCTGGGGTAGAGCCATGATCTGTTCCCTGTATGCCCCTGCCTGCAGAATCCGCGCCCATCGCAGGGGCATGTGGGCAGCAGATTGCAGCTCTTCCCCAGGCCCCAGCCCCATGCTGTCACCACCCTGTGACCCCACCCCATGACCCTGGCCTCACTTGCCTCTCCTGCTCCTGAACATGGCTCCCAACCTGCCCATGTCCACATCCTACATAGGGAGTTTTAGTGAGTAGTTGCAACGAGAAAGTGGGTGCTGACCTGGCCTGTGACACCTTAATAAAACTTCTTATGCTGCCTACAGGCCCAAACAATTGTCCACCCCAGTATAGAGCCTTGTTGGAGATAAGTTTTGGTGGCAGTGGTGCAAGCAACAGCAGTGTTAATTCCTGCAGTTTCCTAAATCAACACAGCAGCTCAGGCACCCATGGCAGTTAATATTGCCACTTCTTGTCCCGCTGCTGGAGGTGGGCCTGGTTGAGATCTGGTGAATAAAAAGCAAAGCAAGCTTTACTGTCGAGCTCTAGAAGGATTTTCCCAGCTGTATTTGCTAACAATTCTATTGCTGTAAAAGATGGAAGAATTTAGAAGCATGGAAAAAGTTGCCACATTCAAAGAAGGTTTCTTATCATCAGAGGAGTCAAGTTTTGAAATGGTCTTCCAAGCCAAGTGGTGTGAGGCAAGGAACCTGCACCTCTTTGAGATTAAACTGGACATGTTTTTGGAAAGGGTGATATGATAGGACAGGGAGTTCTGCCCCACCAGTCAGTGTTTGAGATGTGGAGTCACATGTTTGTGGTCCCCAGGTTGGAAAGCATCTGATAATGTCAAGTGTTAGGCTTTGCTGGTTGCCACTTGGGACCAGGAAGGAGTTTTTTCCCCCCATCATGAATGTTACTGACTTCTGAAGGTATCTTTTTTACTTCCTTTGAGGCAGTGGGGCATACGCCACAGTGAAATCTTTTGATTAGGATGTGCTGATGTGCTGGGTAGCTATAGAAAATGCAGAGGTTCCTAGCTATAGCCTCTTGCTTTTCTGTTTAGCATTGTACCGATCAACATATTTAGGGGCAGAAAAGAATTCCTCCCTAACCCAGATTGGCATATAGGGGTTTTGCCTTCCTTTGTAGTATGTGCATGGTATTTTTTGAACATCTTCTGAGTGTGTATTAATCAACTACTTTTCTTTTGCCACAGTGGCAGGATATTTATTGTGCTCTTGTCTACCCTGGACTCACCTGCATTGGATGTTCTCAATGCTTCAGATATTGTGCCTTGTTGGTACGGATAAAGGTTTGAGGTAGTGTTTCAGGGGATTCCTTTGGTTAATGATTACCTTTGACCACAGGAGACTGTACTCAGTGGCCCAGTAGGCCACTTCCAGTCTCTTGGCATAAAGTTCTTTAACACACTGCATGCCTATTGTCATTTCTAGCACCCAAACTAAAAGTTCTGGGATAATCCTTGGTCATGACCACTTACTTCAAAGCACAGATTTCTGTTGTTTTAGCTATAGATTTTCTGAGCAGCTGAAGGCAGATATCTTCTGCATGTCAGCCATAGACACAGACACATTCACAGAGTCCAAGAAGATGTGACAACATTAATTTAATATAACGGAAAATTAAAATGTGTAGTCACTTGCCTGTGCAACAAGTGTTGTATCATTTAAGAAAACAATGACTTGGAAATGTCATTAATGAGCGATAAAAACAGAACAGTAGGTAGAACCAAGTGTGGCTGTTCCTGTATGGTTTGCTGTGGCAATGCTCAAAGAAGCATTCAGTGAGATGGTTTAGACAAGGATGACCCTGTCTTGATCAGGAGCTTGAACTAGATAGCCTCATCAGAGCTCTTCTAGCCCTGTTTTTCTATGGTCCTACAGTGTTCTATCTCTCCTTGCACTTTCATGAGGATGACCACTGTCACCTTCATGCAGCCTTTTGCCAAAAGCAAGCAATTTGTATTAAAACAATGACTAAAAATATGATTAGTTTCTTGCTAGGTTTTGTGACAAGAGAGGTGTGTGTTTGTGAGAATATAAAGCCAAATCAGGAAGGCCAAAGTGCAATTGGAGTTGCAGCTAGCAAGGGATATGAAGGGTAACAAGAAGGGTTTCTACAAGTATATTGGTAGCAAGAGGAGGATCAGTGAAAGCATGGGTCCCTAACTGAATGAAGGAGGAAACCTTGTGATAGATGATGCAGAAAAGGCTTAAGTGCTCAATGCCTTTTTTGCCTCAGTCTTCACAGGTGAGGTCAGCTCCCATACTACTGCACCAAGGAGCACAATTTGGGGAGGAGGTGAGCAGACAATAGTGGTGAAAGAATAGGTTAGGGACTGTTTAGAAAAACTGGGCATATGCAAATCCATGGGGCCAGATGGGATGCACCTAAGGGTGCTGATGGAGTTGGCTGATGAGATTGCAGAGCCAGTAGCCATCATTTTTGAAAACTCACGGCAATAAGGAAGGTCCAGGAAGATTGGAAAAGGGCTAACATAGTGCCCATGTTTAAGAAAGAAAAAAAGGAGAATCCGGGGAACTACAGACCAGTTAGCCTTACCTTAGTCCATGGAAAACTCATGGAGCAGATCCTCAGGGAATCCATTTCTAAGTACTTGGAGGAGAAGAAGGTGATTAGGAGCAGTCAGCATGGATTCACCAAGGGCAGGTCATGCCTGACCAATGATGAGATGACTGGCTCTGTGGATGTGGGGAGACCTATGGATGTGGTATAACTTGACTTTAGCAAGGCTTTTGATATGGTCTCCCACAGTATTCTTGTAGACAAGCTAAGGAAGTACGGACTGGGTGAATGAACTGTAAGGTGGATAGAAAACTGGCTGGAGCATTGGGTTCAGCAGCTAGAAATCAATGGCTCAATGTTTAGTTGGCAGTCGATATCAAGTAGAGTGCCTTAGGGGTCTGTCCTGGGGCTGGTTTTGTTTAATGTCTTCATCAATGACCTGGAAGATGGCATAGAGTGTACCCTCAGCAAATCTGGAGATGACACCAACCTGGGAGGAGTAGCAGGGCTGTGCAAGACAGCACTGTTTTGTTTTGACTTCTGTTTCACTGTTTTGATGGGACAGTGTTTCATTTCAAGTTTTGTTTAGTTTTGATACCACTGTTCTGTTTTGTTTAATCGAAATTGTTTAGCCGTTTCAATGTTTCGCCCTTGGCCTATAATGGGGAATCACAAAACTGCCTATAACTTTGTTGTTTCCTGCCTGATTCAAAGGAAAACACCAGGGAGGGTAGCCCCTGCTGAGGCCATGAAGCCTGCCAGCTTTCAAGGAGATAGGTTCAGGGGTTTCTGGGAACCTACACCTCAAGTTGCTAACAAGCAAAACTCGTGGTGTGTGTGTGTGTGTGTGTGTAAGGCACAGCTACTTTTATGTCCCTCCCCCAGAGCACTGGGATTGGAAGGGACCTCAGGGAAGGATCACAGTCACTGGCCAGCTACACAGTCAATATCAGAAAAGTCCTTCCTCCTCTCTCTCCTTACTTTTTGTTTCCCTGCAAGCAAGCCCAGCTTTGAAACTCGAAACTTTCGAAACAGTTCGAGTGCCCTCATTTTGTTTTGAGACTGTTTCTAAGTCTGTCATTTAGTTTTGATTTCACTGTTTTGAGCTCAAAGTGAGTCAAAACAGTGTTGAAACAAAACACCTGGCAAAATTTTGCGCAGCCTTAGTAGATACACTGGAGGGTAGGGCTAGGATTCAGAATGACTTAGACAAATTTGAGGATTAGGCCTAAAGAAATCTCATGAGGTTCAACAAGGACAAGTGCAACGTCCTGCACTTAGGACAGAACAATCCCATGCACCAGTACAGGCTGGGGGCGGACTGGCTGGATAGCACCTCTGCAGGAAAGGACCTGGGGGTTACAGTGGTCCATAAGCTGAATATGAGCCAACAGTTTGCCCTTGTTCCAAAGAAGGCTAATGGCATACTGGGCTGCATTGGTAGGTGTGTTGCCAGCAGGTCAAGGGAAGTGATTATTTCTCTCTCCTGAGCAGTGGTGAGGCCACATCTGAAGTACTGTGTTCAGTTTTGGGCCCCCCACTACAGAAAGGATATGGAAAAATTGGAGAGAGTCCAGTGGAGGGCAACAAAAATGCTTTGAGGGGCTCAGGGACATGACTTCTGAGAAGAGGCTGAAAAAAAAATTTGAAGAAATTGTCCCATAAACCAAATCTCAGAACCCCCTGCAACCTATAAAAGATTGTACATGTAGTGGACAATGGGAAGATTGGAGCAGTTGAGGGCTATTGATCTAGGTTATGCTTTCAAAGCATTTTTTAAATTGCTTCCTTGCCATATAGCAAATTGTTTATCTTGTACAGAATGTGGTTTCTTTTGTAGTAGGTAACTTTATGGATAATATTTTTAACATGTTCTTTCTCCCTTTTCACCATCAAATATGCATCAAGGACTATATGAAGGTTTGACTGATGTTTCCGTGTAGATAAAATGTTGAGTGTTCTGCCAGTGTTTTGATCTCCAAATATTGTGACTGTGTATTGATTGTGTTTCATGGTTCCCTGACTGACGACAAATTGTGTCTTGATGTATTTGTGGTGTTTGGATTTACTTTAAGGGATCATCTTTTAAAATATTTCTGGCCATAACCAGGTTTTACTTTGACTTGTTTCAGGAACACCCCAGACCAGAATATGAAACCAAACTGCTACAGAAAAAACTCAAAAATGAAAAAAATTCAGATGATAGCATAAGTGAGGTAAGAAGCATGTATTTGCTTCCACTTTTCACTTGCATTTGGTCTGTATCTTATGAATATCTGTATCATTATATCTCCACTGATCATTTTGTAAAGCTGTCTCATTGATGTTACTTGCCTCTTGCTGAGTCTGAGCAAGGTTCTTAGAACCACCTTTATGCTTGCTCTGTGTCCTGCCCTGTCCAGGATAGTGGACTGGGAGTGCAGGGTCTAAAGAGGAGAACAATGCATCAACAGTGAAAATAATTATCTGGAGTTTGACACTTTCACAAATGTTGAAGTATCCTTGGTTTAGTTATTTCATTAATGTCAGGTAACTGGCTGACTGGCATACTGTGCTAGTGGTTTTATAATAAATATATCTAGACAGTGATAGCAGCATCTTATAAATGGAAGAAAATACGTAAATGTATCATATTGTTTAAATTATAAGGTGTGCATAGTTTTCCCTGACTCAAGTACTCATTCCCATTCCTTTCTTGTAAAAGTCTGACTGAGGTCTATTTCTCAGGCAGTCATAAGTCTCTATAGATTCTCTGCATTGGTTTTGGCTAAAACATAGCTTATATTTTGTGTGCCATATGTGACAACTACGTCAAGGTATTCAGAAACATGTGCAATTTCAGCGATGAAGGAGACTCTTTACCATGTTTATATATTGAAAGGAAACAGTGTCCCAACTGGAGAGAACTCCAGAATTCAAGGCTGCCCAAAACAATTTGATTTTGAATCATAGACAAGAACTTAACCATCCCTTTTTCCTATGGATTACCATTAAGGTTTTGAAGCATAGCCCATGAACAAGCCAGCTTAATAAAGCTACCTGCCACTTGATGGGCCTGCCCTAATGCTCTCTGGAGTCAGTGGAAAAGTTCCCAATGACTTCAGTGGACATTGGATCTGACCCAATGTGAACAGAGAGGTTTGCCAGACAGGAGCTCAGAAACAGAAGTCCAGAGAGCTCTTCTATTGGGCATGGAACAATTCTTTAGGTATCCCAAGTGAGAAATTAAACACTGTAAAAGATGAAGAGAGGAGCTGCTGTGCAGCTCTCTCTTGTTAAAAGTGAGCGAAAATTAGTAATAAGTGCATAATTGATGCTGCAAAATATTCCGTTTTTGTTGGAGCCGAGCAAGGTAATTAGCCAGTTTAAATAGGGCAAGGATATCCCATTAGTTTCCTTGATTAGAAATTAAATTACTGTAAGATAAACAAATTAATTATGGCTAGAGTATAGATCAGAGTCTGAGAAGCAATTTAAAGACCCAGAAGCACACAAAGAGGAAGAATTCCTTTAAATGTAATATAAATGAATTGGGCCAGGAATCGGGCCCAGGAAGCTCCAGGGGGCACCACTGCCACAGAGGGAAGGACTGGGGCTCGCTGCAGCTCAGGGGCCTCTTGGGTCGCTGGCAGTTTGCCCCTCTACTGCAGGCAGGCTCTGACTCTAACAAAAAAAAGAGAAAAAAGGAACAGCCCCTCGTCATAATGTGATGGAAAAATTGAAATGGTGGGTTTCAGTTAAAAACCTGCTGTTTCAATTTAGGGAGCATAGAATAAAACCTTGCGGACTCAGCCCCATCACATGTACAAATGCCCCTGGATCTCTGATTGGTGTTTTAATTTCAGAACATAAAGAAAATAAATTCTAGCCATTTTTAAATTATGTCTCAAGGATTAAAATTTGGAAGAGCACCTAAGTGAATTAGGGTCTGCCTAGACTGCAATAAAGTACCATACAGAGGTCCCTGGGTTTTCTCTGAGGAACCAATTCGGGTACCAGAAGCAGTAGAGCTGTGTTAGTGTGATGTTCCACAGCTGAAGAGTGGAAGGTAAGTTAACCTGGAGAAATACTGTTTACAGGGCTATTCTTCATCATCCTGCCCATTTGGCTACCGTGACTGTCTGCAAATCGTGCACTGTGTGGACTACCCCGAATGTCCCAAACCTCAGAATGGTTTTCAGACAGTCACTCTCTTACTTCATGTAATCCTTCTGCCCCCATCATTTCTTCTCATTTAATGTAAAATGGCTTTTTCTCCCTATCAAAACCAAATTATATGAGACAGAGTGTGCATTTTGCAGTGCTGAGTAAGTGATGGCTTTATGCTATGACATCTTGTAATGTTCCATACCAAGAAAAGATTAAATCAACAGAAAGGGGATATTCTGCACAAACATTTAGCTTTGGAAGGTCCTGAGAAACTGAGCCTGAGAGATTTGTTTTTCTTATGCAGAGTAAATATTTTATATATTTTTTATAGGTTTTAAAAATTAATCTTACATGTTTTTTTCCTCCTGAGGAGGAGCACATTGTGAAGTCATTAACTCAGCAGTGTTTGTATGAGGGGCTGATGTCAAGGCTCAGGTTTCTGTGAGGTCTCTGCCTCAGGACTTCCAGTTATCTGGGCAGAAGCCAGGGTTTAGGGCTTTGTCAAATTACTAGCATGGCCCATCTTGTTTGCTGGACTTCTGCCCTAAAATTACTGGATCAGTACCTTCAGCTTCTTGGTCTTATGTGAATACCCAAGCTTCTGTGAGGCCTCTTTCTCTTATATTTCATTCATAATCTAATATTGAGGCATTGGCCTCTAGAAAGTCGCTCACTCAACAACTTTAGCTGGCTGCTTTGATGTGGAGACGTGCCTCTATGATGCCAGTGGTCAGCACCTCATGCTGGCTATTCTTTGGTCTCAGTGGCCAGAGTTTCTAGTGTGCTTATCTGATGTGAAGCCAGGGGTTTTTGTGAAGTCTCTGGCTCAACAGTTGTGTCTTGTTGGGACAGAGATGATATCAAGGAACAAGATATTGGGAAACCTCTGGTTCAGAACATGAGAGGTCTTTATAAGATTATGGGTTTATTTCCAACATATTAATTCCTCTGTTCATGTGATGCTGTGAACATAATTTTAATGTAATTAAACAAAGCTTTTAAATTCAAAGTTTAGTATGTGGTGAAATTTCTGCTCATCTTACTCCCATACAAAGGCTTACCAAAAGTAATGGGGGTACTTGTGTGATTTAGGGGTTTGTAGTGTACTGCAAGAGAAAATTAACTCGGGTAACAACCCCTGTGAAGTATAATCTGAAGATGCCTGTATACAGAGCTCTTTTTCCAAGATGTAGTTTTTGCTGATTTTTCTGAATATGGCAAGTTTGTGCATCAGGCATTTCACCAGTAAACATTATGAGTCACTCTACCCAAACAACAAATTCCATATCAATCTTATTAAGGTGAGTGATGTAAAGCATTGTAGATGTAATGTGTTAATTGCCCAGTGGGGCTCGTGCTATAGAAAATAGCTTGTATACAAAGGCTTGTTACACTATTTAATCTACCATAATGAGCAAAGAAAAGGATTTCAGTCTACAGCATACTGCATGGTTCAAGCAATTTTAATAAATATTTTATCAATTGTATTGAAAATGGGGAAGAAATTATGAGGTCAGAGAGTACTTTATAAGAGACTGGTGTGAATTTAGTAATAAGACACTACCCTAAGGTGCTATTGTTTGAAAAGAACACTCATCTAAAGTTAAAGAAGTTACAGCATTTATGTTAAATGCCTCAGGTTAAGCAGCAAGCAAACAGCACGACAAAAAAGGTAGTCATTAAGAATAATTACATGCACTTAAAAAATAATAACAAACTCCAGGGGGCTAATTCTGAAAACCTTTATTTCAACAAAGCCATTTAAATTAATATTTGTAGTCGACTTCAGATAGGCCTGTATAAGTAAATGTTTACAATGCCAACGTTTACATAGCTGTCTATTCAATCAGCAGAAAATTTTCCCTTTGATTATGTGGAGAAGGTGGATGGAGAATATATATATATGTGTGTGTGTGTGTGTTCACGCAGGCATATGTCTCTGCTAAGAGAGTAACGTATAGAGAACAGATGGATTTGTCATAGCAAAAGAGCAAAACAACTGATCATTTCTTTGCTGTTTTCCGTATACTACAGTTGAGGTTCTTGTTTAATAAATTACAACATCTGAAGTGGGGTTAAAACTTTATATGCAATAGTTTATGCTGAGATCATTATATCTGTGTAGTATTAAATAAAAAATTGTGGACACTTCTAATCTCTCAGTGATAAGCTTGTCTCTGTATACGTGCAGTACTGACCTTTTCCATTTAAATGTACTAGTGTCAGGAAATGAAATTAGGCCCTGTTCCCACAAATACTTACATAGCTCCAACTCCCATTGAAGCCACTGGAAGGTCTCTCATTCATTTCAGGGAGAGAAGGATCAGACCCTGTTTCCTTTTTGGGGTTAGCTGATCTGGCAAACAAAATTATGATGGTGCATTGTATCTCACCCATTTTGCAAGATAGCAAATAGCTACTTCCACGTCTTTCTCCAGGAAAATTTTATAATGAATAAAGGCTTGTCTCTTGGGTGGTGTGCCTGGAACAAGCCTTGGGAATAGTAAAATCTGGCACGTTTTTACATCCTTTCAAATATGCAAGTGGCATAATGAAGCCTTGAAATAAAACAGTTTGTTCAGGTGTTAATTGGAATGAACTGATATTTTAAAGATGGAATGATATATATTGAACTTACAAGATTTATTCAAATGTCATGGAAAAAGAAAGGAAATTGGATGGTATTAATGCTTTTTATGCATTGCAAAAATGCCAGCATGATTTCTCCTGTTTAGTCAATCCTTTCCTTCATTTAATTCAGTCCTTCCAGAGAGGTAAAGTTCCCAACAGACCAGAAGAAAGGCGAGACTTGAGGACTTAGTTCCATTAATTTTTTATCAGGATGTCCTTATTAAGTTTAATTAAATAAAGGAATCATCTTAAAGGCTTTTATAACCTAACTACAACTATCTAGTACAGGGGTCAGCAACCCTCGGCATGTGTGCCAAGCATGGCACGTGAAGCCATTTTGCTCAGCACGCCACCACAAGCCTGGGCTCTAGGCAGCTGCTGCCAGCCATGAAGCCCAGGCTGCTCCCAGCAAGCGGCTGGGTGGCTGCAAGCCTTG